AGTAGGAATGTTTGCCTTCTTACAGCTAACTAATCCAAGACATTCTCCAGGTGGTATATTTTGTCTCTCTGAAAGCAGTCTCTCTTAGATGATTGTTTTGGGGTTTACTTGCTGTGGCTATTCCATTGTTTATAATGTATAAATGACACTTGAGTAGAATGGATTCCTTCACACATGTTAGAGTCTCTTCTTTTACTCTTCCCCAAGTTCCAACTACAGAAGAACATTGCTATGTTGATACATTTTTAAGCTTGAAAACAGCTTTGGTTTTTTGTTTGGGGTTTTTTTCCTATATTTTCACAAGCTGGTACTTATGCCCTTCATTACAGGTTACTAATGAAAAAAACATCCTTCAGGCAAATGGGAGAAAATGGGACTTCTCCAAGACAGATGTGCGTTTGCCAGAGCTAAATCATCTGCCTGAGCTGAGAGGAATGGAAGGAGGTATGATGTTCTCTAAATAAAACCTGGTTACTAAATGAGTGGCAGGTACCAATGTGTGTTGCAGCAGTCAGCTCTTGCTTCCTTAACACTGTATGCATTGGTTGTCTTTTGCAGCATGGCATCCCAGATATCTGAAAAAGGAAAATAAAACCATTTCAGAGTCCCGTGTCCCCTCCCTTGCTGCAATTGACCTCCATACCCCAAGTCTGGCCTCACAGCAGGTAACAACATTTTGGGAGTCTGATTTGATCTAAGAATAGGTTTGGTTTAAGTTACATGTTGGCGTTGCACGTCCCTAGCAGGCAGTTTCTGATTGATCTCTCCATTTATATTAGACCTGGAAATTGATCCTCTCTGGCTTTTTCTTCCCCAATTTACAGCTGTCAGGATCTTTGCTGCCTGAGGCATCAGAAGGCAGCTTCCCCAGAGTTGAGCACTAGCCTCATGGAGAAGATCACACCTGCCTGTAAAAGGTGAGCTCTCATTTCTGCTGTGTAGCTTTAATTTCTGCATACATGTGGTACGTACAGGCAAATTATGTTGCCTCTGCCTTTTTTATGTCCTTCGCTTAGTAGATTCTTACCTCTTTTTACAAAAACCTCCCCAGAGCCTTCTGATGGCCATCAAATGGATAGTTTCGTGAACACTGAGCATTGGTATTGGAAATGAAGCAGCTTATGAAGTTGGGTTGGAGCAAGCTGATAGAATGACAAAAAGGGGAAGCTGGTTCCCTTCACGTGTGGAGTGGGAAAACGCATGTACAGCACTGTCAAGGGCATCAGGGAAAACGGAAGGGAAAAGGGAGAACAGCGTTGGGTGAGGGGCTTGTCAAGCTTAACATTAGTGAAAATGTTTAGAAATTAAGTCATGCAATCTAAATTAATGTAGCTGTTGATACCTCTCCAAGCATGAAGTAGGAGTCTGGGAGAGAAGGAGGCTTAGGAAGAGTCCTGGCTATGTAGTTGGCTTGTTGACTTCTTGTCTTAAGATCGAAGGACTGAGTTTGAAGTCAGCCACTCTGTCTGCACTTTCACCTAGCATTGCATCTTACCATTCCAGATTGTTTTAAGCTGAGGTTTTTAAATGTGGTTTTAATAGTTTCTCATCTTGCCTACTGAAAGACATGCAGTTCTTTAAGTCATTTTGTCTGAAAGAAAACTCAGGGAAAAAAATTCATGGTTTTGTTTGCTGTTTTACTTTTTTTCTATTGGGGTATTGTTACCTCTTGATGCTCAACATCTTCCAAAGAGTCTGCTGTATGTGTTGGAGTTAGTATCATCCTCTTGCATGTGGGAACTGCAGTGCTGAGCTTAGGGTTTTTACTGTCAGAATCACCTCTCTTTCCTTGCTGAGGCTGGGCAGAAGGGACTGAGGGAGCACACATTGGGGAGAAAAAAGAGAGAAGGAGACAAGGTGCTTTGGAAGAGTCTTCAGAGGCTGTGCTCCAAAATGTCACCAGCTTTATTGGAACCTTGTCCTGCACAGATGGGCTTTACTTGGGGCTCTGACTATGGATGTGATCATGTACCTGCCCCTGCAGGGGGGCAAAGGGACCACCAGGCACCAGTGCTGCATGTGCTCCTCATATGTATGAGTGTATTTGTCAAATTATGTGATGTGGAAGAAAGGAGAAAAAACATTAGGATGGGAAGCAATCCTGATAGTACAAGTAGCAGAATAAGAAAGTTGTCTTGTCTGTGAAGGACAGAGGTGTAGGTGCACAGTGTTAGCAAGGTAATAAATCAAAATAAAGGAGGAATATAATGAGGGACAAGCTCTGTGGTTTTGTTAGTCTGTCCATAACATCATTCTGCTTTGCTCCTCTCGATGCAGGTGGCTGAAAGGTTGGGAACAGTCCACCTGAGTTACCAGTGCTAAGGCTGTGACTTCTCTGAGGAGGGAGGAGGATCTCTCACCCTCCTGCCAGCGCAGCAGGCTGCTATGGAAGGGGCTCGGGCACAGCCCCAGGGCAGGGCTCCCACCGCCATTGCTGCTGGATTTCTTGCACACAAAACAGCTCCTGAAATGTTGACTTTTGGGTCTTGTCTGAGAAAAATAGTGGCTTTTGGTGTGTGCCAAGGGTAGACGCTGGTTTGGAGGATTTTTGGAAGAAGCTGTGCTTTCTTTTGTTGAACTGCTGCCCTTTTGGGGGGTTGCTTTTTAAATGAGTAGTGAAGAGAGTGGCCAGCTGCAAAACTTCACTCAGTAGGCTACCAAATCTGTCCTGGAAAACACCTTGGCCTTGACAAAAATGTCAGTAAAGAAGACGTTTGTGCAAGAAATACAACGTTTAAATGTGGAAGTGTTCCCAGCTGTTCCTTTGAAACCCTTGCTAGCACTCGGCAATGTATGTGACCTGGTGTTCAGCTCCTTTTACCTCCACGTGTTCATCTGAGTGATTGTCTTTTGGGTGTTTAAATGGGCCAGTTGACTAGCTGCTCCTAGCGGTGAAGGAAGAGTATCAGTGTGAATTGACACACCAGCAAGCAGTGTGCGAGCTGGGTTGCTGGTGGCATGGGAAATGGCCTCTGTGAGCACTCAATAGCTCAAAGCAGTGCTCAATCCTTTGAAGGAGCATGGCATTTAAGTGTAGAACTCAACATAGCAAGTTGTGGGGAGAGAGAGATGGCATCACGTTTGTCTTGGGACTGTTAGGAGTCTGGTTTTGCTTAACTGCCCATAGTCAGGTCTGCAGTGTCCCTGTGTTGCTCATGACTCTGTTTTCAGCTGTTAAAGCTCACCCCACTGCACGGTGTAGTTATTTTGGAACTTTAACTGTCTTTCCCCAAAAGACAGCCTTTCCCATCAATGTGGAATATGGTATGGATGTCATCGTCTTTAGAGCTTTGTGGCTATCCTGTGTGTTGACATGTATGTTAAAATTTGTAAATAAAAGGATATTTAAATCCCAAATCCCTTGGTACGAGTACAAATGTAACCTGTGCTCACTTGGTCTTCCCTGGACTTAGTGTTGTATCAGCTCACTTGTAGCGGCAGCGTTACCTGCACTGAAAACCAGGACTTTTAAATCCATTTTTATTTAATAGTTGATACCAAGTTTCTTGCAGCCTTTTACAAGTGCAGGTTCCCTTCAGCACATACCTGACTGTGCCCAGGGGCAAACACAATCACTCTGCTTGCCTAAAATGGGCCTGCTGAGGATTTCCCAAGCTGAAGATGAATGGAGCAGCACCTAGTCAGGGCACAGGGCTTCTCCCAGCACCACAGTGCTCAGGCTTAGCACCCTTCGGCTGTGAGTCCTTCCCTTGGACATGGCAAACAGCTCCTCCAGGAAAACAGACAGGGAAATGGCTCCACTCTCTGGCTGTGGGCTGCTTCCCCTGTGTTTCATCAAGATGTTGGGGTTTGTTATTTGTGGAGGGCGGACTAGGGAAGAGGGTGGAAAAAAGGAAGGTTTTAGTAGAGGAGGGGAAAGGAGGAAGTTTTAGGGTTAAAAAAGGAAGTTTCTGGGCAGGTGGGAAAGGAAGGTTGGGGTGGGGAAAGGGTTTGGAGAGGGAAAAAAGGTTGGGGAAGAAGGTTGTAGGGGAGAGGAAAGGGCAAGGAAGGATTTAGGGGAGGGAAAAAAAAGGCAGCTTTGGGAGGGAAGAGGGAGGGGAAAAGGAAGATTTTTAGGGGAGAGGGAAGGAAGGTTTTTTGGGGGAAAGAAGGTTTGAGGAAGGAGGGTAGGAACAGTTTTGGGGGAAGGAAGGACTGGGAGGAGGAAGACTTTAGGGGAGAGGAGAGGAAAAGGTAGGGTTTAGTACAGAGTGGGAATGAAGTTTTGGAGCAGAAGGAATGGCGGGAAGGTTTTAGTGGGAAGGAAGGTTTTAGGGCAGGGGAAAAAAGATTTATTTTTTTGGGGAAAAGGAAGGTTTAAGGCGTAAAGGTTTTCAGGGAGAGGGGAGGGAAAGGAAGGGGTTTTGGGGGGAAAGTTTATGGGGAAAAGGAGTGGAAAAATGGTTTTAGGCGGAGGGAAGGTTTTAGGGGGAAAGGGTTTTTTTGGGAGGAGGAAATGAAGGTTGAAGGTGGAGGAAGGTTTGGGGGGTGAAGGAAAGTTAGAGGGAAGGTTTTTAGGGGGAAGGGGAGAGAAAGTTTTTAGGGGACGGCAGAAAAAAAAAGTTCAGGGGGCAAGGGGGTGTTTAGGAGAAGGGGGAAGAGGAAGGACGGTGCTTGGAGCACCCTGGTCTAGTAGCGGGTGTCCCTGCTAGTGGCAGGGGGTTGGAACTGGATGATCTTTAAGGTCCCTTCCAACACAAACCATTCTAAAATTCTAAAGCTTAGGGAGGAGAAAAAAGGATTTAGAGAAGGAGGGGGCAAAACCCACAAGGTTTTAAGGGAGACGGAAGGTTTTGGGCGAGGGAAATTAGTTGTTCGAGAGACGGCTCCATTCATGACAACTACTCCGGCC